TGCTGTCTGCAGATATTGATTTGGATGTGTTTATCAGATCAGTTCCTCAGTATTTTACAACTGTACATTAACTTTCCCTTTGTAATAGAGCATGCTTTCTTAATATATACATGGCAAGCTGATGAAAATGAATGGAGGGAGTGTTTCATTTGTAACCAAGTTCACAATAAGTAATAATTTAATGTTCAGAGAATAAAATTTCTGAGTTTAGGAAGAGAATTATTAATTTATGACCTAGTTAGCTTATGGTAGCAGATTTATGACATGATTAACTTATAGTAGTAGATTTCAAGGGACTATAAATTGTTTCTTGGTTACCTGGATTTTCTAATTTTTTTCAGTGATTGTGTATTACCTAATTGAAAACATAGAAATGATGAATAATAAAATGTCTTCATCACAGTAAGGGAAATATAATGAACAAAACTAATCTTTGATCACTGGATATCCTGCAAGAATTGTTCTCATATAGAACTGTTGGTGGCGAAATGGCACTGGAATGTTACTGGCGATTGGACCTTGTTCAGCAACTTCCTCAGTACTTGAATTCTGGCTAAGAAGGAATTCAGAGCCAAGACTTGAACTATAAGAGAAAGTTTAATTAGAAAGTCACAGAGGTAGAAGAAGTGAGCCATAGGAAAATGGGCTCAGGAAACAAGTTACAGAAGCAAAAGAAGGGCCCTTGGAGCTTAGAAAGAGAGAGAAGGGGGTGAGGAAAGGTGCCCGTGTGCTCCATAGAGAAAACCACATAACTACATTGGGTTCTTCATCTTAAAGACTTTTATCTGCTCTCCAAAGGTGGGAATTTCAGGGGAGGTCCCAAGGGAGGATTTCAATAGAATATATTCTTCAGTTTTTCGTGTGTGTGTGTGTGTGTGTGTGTGTGTGTGTGTGTGTGTCTGTTCTCAGGTTCGTCGTGGTCTCCACTGATTGGTCAGCCCCAGGGCAGAGAGTCAGTCAGCTGGTCCTGAAGTCAGCCATGGCATCACTTGTTTTGCTGCTTTTCTGGGCCTGCAGCTGAAACACAACTGAGGCCTAGATGTTATCCCTAAGGGTTAATGCTTAAGAGAGTGGTTGTGCAAGGGTCTGTATAGGGGTCGCATGAGGCCACTCTTTGGTCCCTTGTTCCTCCTCCGAGGGGGGTCTCCCACATGACTAACTATATGTTAGGGAGGAAAAGTCACTTTGGGGGCAAGGTCCTTGTTTTCCCAGTTTTGCTCGTTGCTAGGCACCCGGGGCTTTCCTCCCTGGTGACCTCTGTACCTGCCCATTGTCCTTGCTCTGCTCATGCCTGTCTAACTGCTAGCCACAGAACTGTATTGATGTATCTGTGCATTTATAACCACATATAAATAAAGATATAGAGATATACGCATGCCATTCCTGAACTGTGAGCTTTTTGAGGACAGGCTATTTAAAATCTTCATATCTGTATTGTTTCACAGAGAACCTGACCTACAATAGAACCTAAATAAATGTTTATTGTATGATTAACGGAGGATGTATACAAACCACCAGAAGTTCATTGAGAGTCATATAAATTTTTTTAAATGCTAATTTAAGCACTTAAGACCAAGAAATGTAAAATTATACTCATTACCTTTTTTTATTTTTGAACACCTTTATTGGGATATATTTGACATCATAAAATTAACCCGTTTTAACCATAGAATTTAGTGATTTTTGGTAACTATTGAGTGATATAATCATTATCATAAATCAGTTCTAGAACCTTTTCAAACATGCCCTATAAGGTCCTTCATGGCCATTTTTTGTTCCCACTCCCAGCCCAGGCAACTGCTAATCTACAACTCGGATGAATGGAATGTACAATATGTGATCTCCTGTGGCTGGCTCCTTTCACTTACCTTAATGTTTTTGAGCTTCATCCATGGCATAGCATGTCAGCAATTCCTTTTTATTGCTAAATAATCTTCCATTGTATGGATATATCTACTCATTTTAAAATTTTTTAAAGAGCACACAACTACTTAATAAATGCAACAGATAAATACGGCCTATTCATTTAGCAAACATTTGTTGAAAATTAAAGATGGCCTAAGGAATTAAAAATATAAAGGTGACTGCAACCCATATCCAGCCCTCAAGGAAACAGACAACTAAGAAATCATACAATTCAGAGAGAATTAAGTGCTACGGTGAAATATAAGGTAATGTTAGTCTAAAGAGGAAAATATTTGTGGAAGTATTTGAGAATGCTTCTCGAAGAAGTGATATTTGAATGGGATATGTACAATTCCATGGGCAGAGAATGAGAGGAGATGATATTCCCTTTGAAAGGAATGTTATTTTTATATTCATGCCAAGTGTGAAAGTACTTTTTTTTTTTTCTCCCCAAGAAACAACAAATCATCCTGTGTTGCTGAAATTCAGGCCTCGAAGGGGATATTTGGGGTAGGAGATGGAATCAGAAGTACTGCTTGGTATCAAAAAGTAGGTCCTTGAATGCTGTCTACGGAGTTCATCTTGATTCTGTGGGTGGTAGGAAAGCATTCGAGGAGAATGGATTCAATTCTTTATTATATCCCATTCAGGAAGGATAGAGGAGGTGAAAGGGAAAGAGAAGGACACCAAAGGGAAGATTCAGCAAGTGTTTATTGGGCACCTGACGCACTCTGTTGGTGCTGATAATTCAGCTGAGGACAAGATGAAGGCCTTGGTTTCCAGAGCTGACATTCTAGTGAAGGGACATCAGCAATACACCAGTAAACAGATAACTGGATCAGGGGTCCAGTAGTATCAAGGAAAAAATATTTGAAGCTGGGTAAAGAAAGGGGGAGTGATGGGGGAGGGATGCGGAATTAAAATTTGATTACAGACCCAAAAACAATGAGGACTCGAGCTGTGCACACACCTGGGGAAAGAAAGTGTGGAATGGAGCGATAGCAAGTGCAGAGGCCGCACGGAGGATCAGCCCGGAGCGCCTGAGAAACGGCATGAAGGCCAGTGTGGCTCTGTCTGGCTTATGTGTTTTTGGTGTGGTGTGTTGTTGCTGTTTTTCAGTTTTAATTGTATATATTTTATTATTTTAAATTTTAAAAGATCTTTAAATACATATTTGAACATTATAATTCAACTGGTCTGATTATTTTAATATTCTTGCAAACGAACATTTATGATTGATACTCTAATTTGGGTTAAATGAATCACTCAGTTTTGTCTTTTGAAGTGTTTTCCAAACAGGAATTTGCTCAATGATGTAAGTTTTAGTTGTTATTCTGTAGCAGATGCACTCTATGTATGGTTTGGAGGTGATCTTAGCTATAGTGCATAGAAGATTAATAGCATTTACTATGTTGTGTAGTGGAGGTATCCGTAAGGAATCTCTGCTGAATCCTGAACATCAGTTTCCATTCCTCGGGCCCATGGAGGGCAGCAGATGGAACCAAAAAAACATTTTGGTGAATGTTAATAAACTTCCTCATTTTGGCTAGAAATATTTCTTCAGCTGATACAAAGCATTCTTTAGCATCCATCAATAAAAGGGCAACTCCAGTAAGAGAAAATATAATTGATCCATTTTCCACTGAATCTGAATACCAAGCCTTATGCCCTCAGTTCTCTAGGGCAGTTTCAACTTCACAACTCGTAAGAGATGAGCTAATAATAATGGTGGTTGTCCTGACTTTTGTTTTAAAATGATCACCCTGGCAGCTAGGTGAACAATGGACTGTAACCTTCTATGCATTTCATTTCACATGTGTGTGGGCTTATATGTAGGATTAATTCCTGGAAGCAGGATTGCTGGGTTACAGGGCAACCTCAGGAAGAATTCAAAATTCAATAACTCTAGGAGCTTTTTTCATAGCAAAACAAATATATATTAAGTGAATCAAGGCCCTTGTTATAAATATCCAAATGGCCCTTGGCAGAAAAAAGGTTCCCCACCCCCGTTTTAATGGTTCCTTTTAAAATTTTCTTCTTATTTTTTATTTTGTATTCAAATAATGGTGAAAGAAGGATTATGGTATGGACAACAGGAAGTAAAATGTTTTGGTTAATTAACCCTTCTCGATGGATTCTAGTTAAAGGCTTCCCAGAAACACCATAAGATAAACATTGTTTTATATATTTACTTCATCATTCTTGCCCTCAGAGAGCGCTGCGCAGAGCAGAGCTGTTCGTAGGCTAGCCACTAACTCCTGTACCTGTTGAGTACTTGAAATGTGGCTGGTGATATGCTGTAATTATAAAATACACACCGAGTTTGAAAATTTAGTATAAAAAGCATGTAAAATATCTCATTCACAATTTTATATTGATAATATATAGAAGTAATATTTTGGATATACTGGGATAGATAAAATATGGCATTAAGGTTGATTTCACCTTTTTTTCACTTTTTTAATGTAGCTCCTAGCAAATTTTAAATTGCACATGTGGCATACATTATATTTTTATTGGACGTCACTGGTCTAGATAGAGTAAGTATGTGTTTACTTACAGATACTGCAGTGATTTTCCTAATTTCAAAAGGATGAAAGTAAATAAACTACAGTTGTACCCTCTCTCATCATGCTATTTCTTCTTCTGGGAATAAAGTTCAATGGGTGATCTGATCTGATCACACTCCATTAAGATCGGTTGCCTTCTCCCTGACTTTCTCTTTAACTGTTGACGAAAGAACGCAGTTCCTTCATTATGCCTTTGGCATTTTCATGTAAGTTAAAAGCAGTAGGATTCTTGTATTTTAGGAGCTGGTGTGAATATAGAAGGGAGTTAGAGGTCCAAGTTTCTAATTCTGCTTTATTTTATAAATGTATTTTAATAGAAGTTCCCTAGGTGAAGATAAAATTTGCTTCAGCATTTTTTTCATTTTCCCCCTTGCCCTAAAAAAGGTTCAGCATCTCTTAGTTCTGTCTTGTTGCAATAGCATGAGTGTTTTGAATAGTTTATATCTTAACTCTTACTCTTCAAAAACTGAAACAAATAAATTACTCCCAACATCTTTTTTGTCTGGCTTTTATTACATTTTTTAGGAAGATTATATCACAAATGACATTGGAATATCGACTTGGAAGGAGCAGACTTTTCTCTCCCATGGTGCCTTATTAGCAAAGAGCTGCCAAGCTGCAATGGAATTAGCAAAGCATGACGCTGAGGTTCAAGATATGGCTTTTCAGTATGGGAAGCACATGGCCATGAGTCATAAGGTATCTACATCCCCTTTCCCTTTTTCAGTACTGAAAGAGCTAAAATGAAACATGAGAAACCTTTGGCCGTTTGATAAGCTTTTATATCTCAAAAAATGTTTATTGTGTGTTTAAAACGTATCAGTCATAGACAGTGATTGTTACATAAACAGTGTGATTGGTGAATGCTGTGTAATTTTGATAGAAAGCTACAACGTATTTTAACCATATTTGTAATGTTTATCTTTTCTTACCACCTGAAAGGGTTCTTGAAAGAACTCTGGCAATTATTAAATAACATGTAATGTTGCCATTTATAGAATAAAATAATACTTTCATTTTTATTACAGTTCCCTTATAGTTCCTCGTGTAAAACAAATTGTGGAAAGTTAATGAAATTTGGAAATATACTGAATAAAATTCAAAGCTTAAATTCTAATAACTGATTCTTTTGAATGGGCATATTGAAATATAAAATGTCCTAAAATTAGCTGTTGTATTGTTTCCTCTATGTATATGTAATTGTCAAATTTCATTAACTATATATATATACACACACATACACACCTTAGGTGTTACTTAAATAGTTCAGAAGAGGGGGAAATATTTTAATATAAACGTAATATCTCCAGATGATTTTTTACATATTTTATTATATCTTAGGTTAGTTTATTAAGCAATTACATACATTAAATATTTTTGTAAATTCTTACCTTGAACTTAAAGTAAAATAAAGGCTTCTGCCAAATAAAAAAGGAATTTGTTAGGGAAAAATTAAAGAATTTTAAAGATTATTGTTAATTATATAAAGTGTTCTTTGGCTTATTAAAGTATATCTAAAACCTGCATCCCTTAAGCTTCATTTTTCTCTGTATTTACCTAGTGCTTCCTGTATGTGACTACAACATACTAGTGTATATGCATTTCACTGATTTAACTCTAACTTCTTCTTCTAGATAAATTCTGATCTCCAGCCTTTTATTAAAGAAAAGACCAGTGACTCCACGACTTTTAATCTGAACTCAGCTCCTGTAGTATTACATCAGGAGATTCTTGGAAGAGATTTGTGGATCAAACAGATTGGCGAGGTAAATGAAAGTACTCCTATTTTAGGTACCAGTAGTATTAGCTAATTTTAGAACATAATTTGTATTTTATGATGATCTAAGACATCAGCCATATAGATCAGCCATATAAGAGCTCATTCATATAACAGGTAAAAGTCTTCCTTTATAACCTACATTTTAAGAGGTAAAATATTAGTGAATTAGAAACTACAATACCATATTTGTTATTATCTGAGTTCTTAGAATACTGCAACACAAAACTAGTGTGTGTGGTGAATACTAATTAACTCAGATGATTTTTTTTTTTCTAAGGGCTTTCAAAAATTGGGCTATGGTAATAGCACCACCCTTTAACTGACGGCAATTTTCCATCTGTAGACTCTAGCACAAGCTGCAGAATTCCAGGAGGTCCGTCTGTCAGCTCATTGGGTTATTTTAAAACAAACTTGGGCCCTGAATATTCAAGTTCTGAGGCATTATCATAGGGGGAAAAACGTGGTCAAGTGGGAGGGATTACGGGGCTTAAATTGGCTAAATTTTCCATTTTGGGGGATGGGGGAAGTTGTGGGTGATGAAAGGAAACTTTTTTGATTTTTGTTTAATCCAGAAACTCTGGTCCAAAAGTTCTTTCCCTTTTACCCAAAGCTTCATGGAATTTATTTCACTTCATGGTTCTGAATGATTGGGTTAACCTGAGGCTGACATGGGGAAGGAGCCAGGCGCAGCTGAGGGTGCGGGTAGCCACCATACTTAAAGCAGGCGGATCCTAAGTGATATCTGCATTCAGAAAGATAAAATTATTGCTCTTCTACCCCTCTTCCCTTGTTGGCTCTCAAAATGCTATCCGCCATCTTAAAATCCCTCTTATTCACTAGGTAGAAAACAATGGGGATTCCTTTCTGGGGAAACTGTCAAACCCGGGCAGAAAGACTTGCAGATGTGAATGATTGAGGCTCCCCCAGTAAGCATGCCATGTCCCTGACCAGCCCTCCAACCATGAGGCCTACCAGTTGACAAGCCTCAAAGTATCCAAGTGCAGAACAGTAGGCACTAGAGGACCGCTGGGCATTGAGTAAAGCCTCTGCCGTAAAAGGGTGAGTCAAGGCTCTTCCTTCCAGTCCGCCATCTGCAGTGGAATCCCCTCCAAGGGGCAGATTTTCATGAGCCCCCTTACAGGGAAGACCATCACTGTCGAGGCTGAACCCTCGGATACAATAAAAAATGTAAAGGCCAAGATCCAGGATAAGGAAGGAATTGCTCCTAATCAGCAAAGACTGATCTTTGCTGGCAAGCAACCGGAATACAGACACACAATATTCCAAAGGAGTCCACCCTTCATCGTATGTTGAGACTTTGTGGTGGTGCTAAGAAAAGGAAGAAGTCTTCTACTATTCCCAAGAAAAATAAGCATCAGAGAAAGAAGGTTAAGCTGCTGTCCTGAAGTACTATAAGGTGGCTGAGGGTAGCAAAGCCAGTCACCCTCATCAGGAGTGTCCTGCAGGTGAATGTGTGCTGGAGTTTTTTGGACAGACACTGTTATGGCAAATGTTGTCTGACCTGTTGCTTCAACAAACCAGAAGACAAGTAATTGTATATGGGTTAATATAAGACATGAACTAACATTAAAAAAAAAAAAAATGAGTCAAAAGCAGACTGATTAAAAGAAGGGACTTAGGAGAAACAGAAACAGTATAAAAAAAGACATTCACAAAAGCATTACAATCAGTATACTCAGGAGATAAGATATTAAATCCATGAAATAAGAGCAGGTGATATGTTTTAAAAAGGATAATCCAAGAATTAGAAATCAGAATTATAAAATATAAAAATATGAAAGCAGAATTTTTTAATGGAAGATATAAATAAGAAATCTCCCAGAAATTTGAATGAAAAGATAATAGGAAATAAAAGGGAAAAAATAAGAAAATTAGAGGACCAACTTAAAAGATTCCATATCTATTATGAACTCCAGAAGAGAATACTGGAAATGCAAGTGAAAAAATTAACAATGAATTTTTTAAAAGAAAAGAAAATTCTAAGAATTGAAGGACCTGAGTCTCCAAATTAACTGTTACCCTAAATAATGAATTTTAAAACACCAAATCATATCATTATCAAATTTTGAAACAATGGGGATAAAGAAGATATCCTAATACTTATAGAAAGAAAAAGAAAACCCTACCTGCAAAGGATCAAGAATCAGAATGGAGCCCTGGCCGGGTAGTTCAGTTGGTTAGAGCGTTGTCCCAGTACTCCAAAGTTGTGAGCTTGATCCCTGGTCAGGGCACTTAAAAAAAATAAAAAGAATCAGAATGGCTGTAGTAGTGACACTGAAAGCTTCAAGACAATGGAGTTTACTTCAACATTCAAAGAGAAAATTGTTTCCAACTTAGAATTTTATGCCAGTCATGTTATCAAGTGTGACATTAAATAAAGACAATTTAAAAGAGATAAATAAGGTCTCAAAAAACTTACCTCCCAAGCATCTTTTTTCAGGGAGCAGGTGAGGTATTCTATCAATAAAAGTATATTAAAAAATGAGACAAAAAATTTTAATGTGTGAGAAAGGAAATCAGTACTCTACATGGCCTAGAAAATAATATTTAAATAGCATAAAATGCAAATATTGAATATTGATTTAAAGCAAAAAATGTAATCAGTGCAAGGCAGCTAGGGAAAAAAAATGTAATGTCATGTAATTATTCCTTTCATGGTAAGATCAATAGATAATAATCGAGGAAGGACAGTATTTGAAGATTAACAGCAGAAGAAACAATTAGAGAGGGACACAGGACAGACAAGTCTGGAGAGTGCTAGGGTATTTTGTTGGAAGTCTTGTATTATTTGACCTTTTTAAATAATATACATATATTTGGTTTTATTTTAAAACTTTTAGTTTAAAATGTATATACTTTACTATAATAGTTTTACTTCTAGTCATCTATACCAAGAAAAATATTAGAGATGTGGGCAAAGACTTACATATTAAAATATATAGTAAAATAGTAATTCTAAAAGGAAGAAAGTGAAAATTGATGCATTTCAATATAGAAAACGGTTAAATGAAGCATTGTACAATGAAATATCACACAACTATTGAATATTGTATTACTAGGGTGTATTTGTGTGTTTTTGACAGCTGAACTGAAAATATATATACAGATGGTGTTAGTAGCTCTAATTGAGTTACATTAGAATACATTGCAGATTTACATTTTTGTTGAAAAGATACAGCTAAATATGCTCAATGAAAGCTACCAACTCCCCCTACCAGCTATTCACATATATGCATATACATATAAGGGTAGCATAGATATGAATTTTAAAGAAGCTTCACAGAAAAGGGACATATTTAACTCATTTCTTTGCAGGCATACTAAGTTGTAAATGTAGACAACATGAAAGTCCAGGATTTCCTAAACAGCTGGTGAAATACTCCCAAATCATTATCCCTAACTTGATTTAAATTCAAAAGGCTATCCTTTCCAAATCATCTATGTGTAGCCTCTGACTTCAAGACCTTCTCTTTATAACTGCATGTGTAAGTCATGACCAGGGGTCACTGGTGAGAGAAGATGAATTCATCTGAAGCAAATAAATGTTTCTGTATTGCAGGTGGCAACATTCTTCAGATTGAAGACTCCTAATGAGTTTATTTTAATCTTCTAAATTATAATATTCATGTTTATATAAAGCTCTATAAGATAATGATCCCACTCTATGAAAGAGTTAGGGAACAATCTGCGTAACACTTGAGAGAGAGACATTCTATCCTAAATCTCAAGGAGGTTTCTTATTAATCCTGAAATTGGTTCTTTCTCATGCCCTTTTTCCAATATTTCATGAAATTTAGCTCCTCTGCATTTTTGTGATCCTTTCCTCCCCTGAGTTTTGAATTTTATTGCAAGATCCTTAAAGATAATAGTGAATTCACCTTTGCATTATCAATAGTGTCTGCCATAGTAACTTACTTGGAGTAGTCATTCAATTAATATTTCTCAAAAAGTATGTGTGGTGTGATCTTCTCAGGGTGCGCTACGTTTGATGGCAGCCCATTTTGTTAAATAGAAAGAGTTGAGTTGGTGTAGTAGAAATGGCCCATAGGGGACCAAGATCTGGAAGATCTGGATTCTAGTTTGTGCTCTGCTAGCATCTGTATAACTTTAATCACATCCTTTCACCTTTTTAAAAATTATTTTCTGAAAATGTTGGCATTTGAACGAGATCATTTCTAAAGTCTCTTTCAGCTCTTAAATAAATCTAAGGCATAGGTCTCTTGGGCAAGAGATGCATCATAAGAAAAATTTTTATCTCTCTTAGAAGTTTAATACTAGTTTTGACACTGAGAAATAGAGAAGTCTTGCTCCCAATGATAGAAGTCACCTATGATTTCTTATTATCGCATATGAAATTACTTCCCCGTTCTGCTCAGACAGGTTTGTGTCCCATCTTCTCTTTTGATGTCCTGGTTGGGAAAGTGAGTTAATGACTAGACAAGGAAGGAAGGAGGAGACAACATGCCCTTAGTGCCCATTCAACATCACTGTGGGCCAGGAGGAGGAGCACCTCTGGTATTTTTCATATCAGGACCTGCTACCTCCTCTCCAACTCCCTCTTTTCCTCAAAAATCTTTTTTCTTTTTTTTTTAATATATCTTTATTGATTTTAGAGAGAGGAAAGGAGGGGGAAAGAGAGAGATAGAAACATCAATGATGAGAGAGTCATTGATCGGCTGCCTGGCCCGCAACCCAGGCATGTGCCCTGACCGGGAATCGAACCCCGATCTCCTGGATCCTAGATCGATGCTCAGCCGCTGAGCCACGCCCTGCCAGGCCTCCCTCAAAAATCTTAAGATTAGATAGCCCTCTTCCATCACACCCATAGGTGTATACACACACACACACACGTGTGCACACACACAAACACACACCATACTCCTTCACAAGAGGCAGTTTAGGGCACCAGGCCAGACCTGAAAGAGCTGAAAAATATTTGTTGGGCGATGTCTCCATACTAAATTC